CCACATACCCGTTTCGTCGATGGTATCCTCAACGTGTCACATTCGGGCCGGAAGCCACAGCTGTAGATAATTTCCTTGACGTACTCCAGGTAGGAGCCGTAGTGGCTCTTGCCTTTCTCCACCGTGCCGTACTTGCCGATGAAGTCGTGGTGGCAGCACGGCAGGAGGAAGAAACAGCAGTTGTACGACGACCTGGGACGGGAAAAAACAGCAGTTATAGGATGACCTAACATAGGAAAAACCAGCAGTTATAGGATGACCTAAATGGGAAAAATCTGCATTTTTACGATGATCTGGAACAGGGAAAAAGAGTATTTATAGGATGACCTGGAACAAGAAAAACCAGCAGTTATGAGATGACCTAAATAGGAAAAAACAGCAGTTATAGGATGACCTAAAATAGGAAAAAATAGCAGTTATAAAATGACCTAAATAGGAAAAAACAGCAGTTTATATAATGAAATGGAATAGGTAAAAAGCAGGAATAGGTAAAAACAGCAGTAAATATAATAAAATGGAATAGGTAATAACAGTAGTTATATAATGAAATGGAACAGAAAAAAAACAGCAGCTATAGGACGACCTGGAACAGGTCATATGAGCGCCAAGGGGTGAATGTCAACAGAGAAGTCCTTACAGGGAATCAGACTTACTCTGCTCACCTCTCTAGCTTCAACAGTACAAAGTCTGCTTCGACTATCAAGGCACCCCGGAAATAGCAGTTCACAAGAGTGCGACAAACATACGAAAGAAGTAGAGGAAACATTACGATAGTAAGGATGAGGAAAGAAAAAGCAGCAGTTCTCCCCATGTTGTTCCATCACAGTATGAGCAAGACATTGATAAATCAGCCCATAGGCCATTCCCAAAGGGGGGGACATTAACATGTTCTTATGCACAGTAGAATTGTGAATGCGCTGATGTATCAATGTCATGCGCCCTTCCAAAAGGTCGTCCCGACGTGTGGCAACGAGACAAACCGTCACCTGGCAGTTATGACAGGAATCCATGGCGTCAGCTCGTCGCTATGGTTACCGATGATCCAGTCGTAGTCCGGGAACAAATGCTCGGCTGAAGGAGTGATCACTTTTTCCTTCATCGACCATGTGAAATATCGTCAGACAAGGGAAGAAGAGAAAAAACCCCAAAAGAATTATCTACAGTCTGTCTCATTTTCAGGAACAGATGTGACAGATAACACTAGAAAATCTAGAGAAAGTGATAAGACTATTATCACAATAAGACCTAGAGCATTTATGATCTATGTGTCATAATCTGTGAATAGATCACTGATCTCTGTAAGATTTACAGTACTTATGTGTCATAATCTGTGAATAGATCATTGATCTCTGTAAGATTTATAGTACTTATGTGTCATAATCTGTGAATAGACACCACTGATATCTATAAAATTAATTGTACTTATGTGCCATGATATGTGAATAGATAATTGATCTTGATAAGATTTACAGTACTTATGTGCCGTAATCTGCGAACAGATCAACGATCTCAATAAGATTTAAAGTACTTATGTGCCATAATCTGGGAATAGATCACTGATCTCTGCAAGATTTATAGTACTTATGTGTCATAATAATAATAATAATAATGAAGATCATTTCTATAGCGCCCACTCCCGTGTAAACACAGCTCTAGGCGCTTTACATAAATGCATGTAAGAAAATCTGTGATTAGATCACTGATCTCTGTCGGTTTATAACATTTATATATGTCATAATCTGTGAATAGACCACCGATCCTTGTAAGATCTCTGTAGGTATATAGTACTTATGTGTCATAATCTGTTAATAGATCACTAGTCTCAGCAAGATTTACAGTAATTATGAGGATATCTGTGAATAGACCACTGATCTGAGCAAGATTTACAGTAGTTATGTACATCATAATCAGGCTAGCAAAGGTCTAAGTGATCAGTCAGTAGAACAAACCTCACCTGGAGCTCAATGCCGGGGCCAAACGTGTCCCAGATTTTCCGTCTCCTCAGGTCTATCCCAAGGCCACGATGCTGACGGGAGAAACAGAGAAAAAATATCACAATCACATTCTTTTCCAGACACACTCCATCGCAATACGCACAAACTGACCACAGACTTGGTAACTTTTACAAAACCCAATCAGGGTTAACATCAAGAACATTATAACATCAGATAACGTAACAATAAACAAAGTTAGTGGGTGGTTGGCAGGTGCTCTAGTGTGGTTTGCTTCTTCTTTCTTATCAAACATCTGTTGTCCTTATCTCTCCTCCGTCTTTTTCGTGTACGTTACTCTCTCCTAACACCTTTAATCTTCGGCACTTATATGACCTTATTGTATTGCAAGTGCCATAAAACTCTTACTAAAACTAAAACACAAATACATCAAGTGGGACAGGTTTTGGTGTAGAGTATGTGATAAGCTCCCAAATTCCTGATCGTCGAATCTGGGAATGGCACATCATTTTATCTTCTGCCTGGCACCGGACTGATCATCAGACTGTAGAGACTTGATGTAAAACAATATCTGATAAAACAAACACACCATATCATTGCAATGCTTTAGGCCTAGCCAAAATGTAAGCAGAACACACAGAAAGTGTCCAGAACTCTACTGGGATAAAAGTTGGACAAGTCTAAAATAACTAGAATCTTGAATACATAAGGAATCCCAGTTGTTTTTTTGGTTTTTTTATAAATGCAAAAAGAAAATAATCACATTATGCTACATGCCTCTTGCAACAACAAATTGGAGACCTCTCCTAAAAAAGAAAAAAACCCAAAAACAACAGAAAATTACGTTAGGCATTTTTTTATAGCCCCCGTTGACAGTTTCCAACATTTAGGAGTCACAGTAAAGTGCCTACCCGCTATACCAAAGGTACTTGTGTCTCTCAATGTGGTCAAATGATTATCATTAAAAAACATTTTTTTTTATATAACAAAGACCTATAATAATATATTTTTTAAATGACCCCCCCCCCCCCCCCCCAAAAAAAAATAATTAAAAAATTGAACTCTTCCACCCTGAAGAGAGCGACTCACCCCTTCTCGCGTGAGGATATAGACAAGCAGGCCGTTGCCGCAGCCAAGATCCACAAAGCTTTGTTTCTGCTTCACATTTTTCTTCTCTCGGTCTTCTTCCCAGATAAGCTGTGAGAAAAAAACAAAAAATAGTTTGAGTGAATTTTAAAATATTTAATAATAATAAAAATAAAAATAATATTAATAATAAAAATAATAATAATAAATTGCATTTATATAGCGCTCTATCCCCTACTTGTCAACTTTTACAAGCTCTGAGAGCTTACAGAAAAATTATTTTCCAAACGACTTATACTAACTGGTAGGAACACATGCTTAATCCCTTCGTAGCCAGGGGGTGTGTGTTCCTACTGTCAGGACAGATTTTCAGTTCAGCTCATTGGGAAGCCATCATTTGTACAGGTCACTGTCCTAGACAGGTGGCTGTCAGAGCAGGTTTTACAGTACTCACCAGCAAATAAGCGGCAATGGCCACGTCTTCATACACAAATTTCTTTGGGTCTGTGCTCTCTGTCCAGTTCTGAAAAAAACCCAACAATTCAGAAAGATGATTTAAAGTGGAGTGTACGTTAAAGGGTGCTGATCCATATGGCAGCCTATTGGAATGTTTCGGTTCTAATTATATAATAATATATGATATTTCTATAGCGCTCAACCCCAAGTAATTAAAGAATACAGGCTCTGAGCCCTTACAATAGCGACGCATCAACTGTACATTATGTTTTGACTAAAAATCTAGCTTGTTCTCTCTCTCTACATATTATTAATCTAAAATAACTGAAAAGAGTTTTAACTGACATTCGAACAAAAATAAAAAATATTAGATCTCTTTTAAACTACAGGGCAAAGAGGTCCAGATTTCGGGGCCTTGATAAACAAATACCCTTTCATCCTTTGTTTTAAGCTTCATAGAAAGTAAAAGTAATTTCTTTTTGCCAGCTGATGACCTTGTTGTTGTTGTTGCTGTTAGCGATCCAGTAGCATCTGAGCGTTAACTCTTTTGCATGATGCCATTCGGTAATAGTTGCATGTTTGTTCTAATTGTTGTCTTGAGGGGTAGAGGCAATTAGATGTGTGGGGTAGCTTGGGAAGAAAACATCCCCTGTGCTGATGACCTTAAAAGTTAAACTGTGAGTTGGAATGTACAGTTTCAACAAATTAGATAAATATGATGTTGCATTCTTGTTCAAGCTTTTGCGACATACTTCTACGAGACATTCTACCATCAGACCAATCTGACAACTGTTTCACTTGACAGTCTTTCAGTGTACCTCAATCCACAATATCAAACATTTTTCCCTTTGTGATTGAAGTTTGTTCGGTGTGTGTGGGCGTGAGTGTGTATGCACGCGCACGCATGTGTGCATGTATGCTCGTGTGAGTGCATATATGCGTGTAAGTGTGTATACCTGTGTTCGTGCATATATGCGTGTAAGTTTGAGTGTGAGCGTGCGTGTGCGTGTGTGTAGGTGCATCTTAGAAATGGTTGTTTACTAAGCAAAAATATGAGTAAACTGTAGATAGCAGCAACAAAAACACACATGGGGGAAAAAAGAAAACCCCTAGTTCCCCACAGACAGCGATCTGACCTTGACCAGCTCCCTCCCGTACGTGTTTTTGAGGCGCATGTAGACGTCCTTGTACTTGTCCACCGCCACCAGCTGGAGCGACGTCGCAGACGTGGAGATGTCGTTGATGTGCGACCAGTTGACCAGTTTTTCCAGGAGGGTGGTGCGGAGCCACTGCAACGTCATCTGTCGCTGGACGTTGTCGTCCTGTCCCTCGTGATTGCGCGCCCACGACAAAACGATTTCATTCACCTGCGCCCATTCCGGGCTGCGAGAAACAGAAATTTGAATATTCAGGGTCAGGAATGACGTCGATAGTGGCTGCTTAGCCTCTTTCATTGCTGAGACAGATCTATGCACGTCGGTACAGAAAAGATGAAATGTTCACTCAGGAGAAAAAAAGCTGTACATATCTTTAAGAAAAAAAACGTAAATATCTTTCTACTTATTTTAAGAAAAAAACCTGTAAATATCTTTCTACTTATTTTAAGAAAAAAACCCTGTAAATATCTTTCAACTTATTATAAGAAAAAAAAACGTAAATATCTTTCAACTTATTTTAAGAAAAAAACCCTGTAAATATCTTTCTACTTATTTAAGAAATTAAACAATGACAGTCAAACCTGCTCCAATGGCCATCTGTATAAGACATCACCTGCAAATAGGACCACTTCCCCTTTCCTCCTTTACGTTTTTTTTCTTCATTAAAATGACGATGTCCAAGTTATTTCATTCTTCCAAAAAAAACCCACCCTTAACTTCATATCGACAAATTGGTGGTCTAGTGGTTAGGGTATTGGGCTCCCAACTGAAAGGTCGTGGGTTCAAAGTCAAACCCCTTCATAGGCCCGACATTTGGTCCTTGGGAACGATACTTTACACAAATTTTCCACACTTCCCTCAAATGGGAATGGGTATCCGGCTATAGACAGTGAAAGATCTTGTCAGTTTGTTCTTGTTTGAGCCCTTCATTATAAAGATTGGGTGCTGTCTTGGATAATTTTTACTGTCTTAAAAAAAAAAAAAAATACTAGATAGCATTAGTTTAGCACAAATCCCCGCTCAACAACAAGCTCTATGCGCTTCACAATCTATACTATTACCCCAGCAGACCTGAGAGCATTCTGAAACAACCTCAACTTCCTGGGAAGCATACAGTGCAAGCAGCCATTTATAGGCGCTAAAACACTAACATACTGACAAGATCTTTCGCTGCCTTTGACTGGGTACCCATTTCCACCTGGGTGAAGTGAGGAAAATTTGTGTAAAGTGCCTTTCCCAAGGACACAATGTGATGCCTGTGGCTCGAACCCCCGACCCCGCAACCTCATGATTACCAGTCCGGTAGCCTAACCATTAGACCACCAACGCCACTCACAAGTTTTCATCCAGCTGCGAGAAGCTGACAGTATACTTCAACTCCGACGTTTTCTTCACTTTCTTCGATTCCGGCACCCTGTTCTCACAAATTGGGATGAAACTCACAGAAACTTGGGACTTATCTGAAATAGTTTTTAAGAAAAGACATTCTATTCTAATTAATATATACAAATAGTAGCGTCCAGGCCCAGGGTGACAAGGTGTTCCTATGTATATATATAATATAAAAATATATTATAATATTGAGAGAGAGAGAGAGAGAGAGAGAGAGAGAGAGAGAGAGAGAGAGGGAGAGGGAGAGAGAGAGAGTACAACTCAAAATTGGGACCAATACAATTACAAGTAAAACTTCAAAGTGCAGACAGTTCTCTAAGTCTAAACTGCGCCCACAGAGAAAGGAAATCATTGAGTGCAACCACAAAGCTCACCCACTTGTGTTTCTGACTTTAAATTCAGGCAATGTTTACAATCTGACTTGAGAACTACACTAAAGAGCTAAAGATTCAGAGGAGGCTATTTAAGTTCAAAGTGGCAACACCAATGTTAAAGTAAGCTCTAACACGATTATGGGTCCGATAGCCCAACCACTAGACTACTGACACCATACTAATGTGAGAAAATATTCAATAAACAAACCTGTGAAACGAATAATTAACTTGTATAAAAAGACAAAAAACTATTCAATGAATGAGTCTGTTCTCAAACCTACCGTAAAGAACCGCTTCCAGTATGTTTGCAAAGTAGTCTGATTTTGGAATGAGTTCTCGAATCAACAGGGTAAAAGCTGAACTCTCCTCCGACAGATCCTTGAAAGTCACATCACCGGCATGTTCACCCCGCACATCACTCTTTTCTGCATAGTCCTTCAGGGTTCGATCAATTTCCTTCCTGGAGTCTGAACGCCAGACTGCGACAGTCTTTGACCCACACAAGCGTCGGTTGACCACGTGGGGTTTGTTGATCCAAACCGAGACCGATTTCAGGAAGAGTTCAGCGGTGCCTTTAGTTGACTTCACCTGTTTGCAGGTGTCGCAGTTCCCTTCGGTCGTGCAAGTAGCCTTTGTGGGTAGTTCCGCCGTAACGTGAACAGCGACATTATTAGATTCAAGGTCAGTCATCATGTCATGACTCGTGGGCACTTTTCTGCAGCTTCTGAAAGCGAAATGAAAACAAAAAAAATAAATTAAAAAAATACAGTGATAATTGCACCAACGATGAAAATGATTCTCATTTTCTTTGAATTAACTCCAAACGCACATTAAGAAGTTTGAGCAGAACAGGGACAAATATGTCAGAGAAAAAGAAAAGCAATGATAAAAGTAAAAAGGAAAAAAAAGAAAGAAAGAAAAACAATATATTTTTGGGGGTTTCTTTTTGCTCCGCAGTTAATGCATGGCAGAAGTGGGTCAATTGTTACTTTCACTCCCACACACAGATCTATGCACTGCTTTGAGGGTCAAACTGCAGTATATATTTTGCTGCAGATCACACCATATAGCCACAAAAATTGTCGCAAGTCAATTATTTTTAAGAAAATAAAAAAACCTAACTGCGAAATATCAAAATATGGGTTAAAACAGGGGTGGGCATGCCCTCCTGTAACCTCCCTGATTTTCTTTTTACTTCAGGCATGCCCCCCTGGAACCCCCCGATTGGTCCGAAGCGTGCAAATTACTAAAATTACTATGCAGTTAGGCTTAGTGTGATATAGCTCGATTAAAAACCATCAAAATCAAATATCTATTTCAAACACTATTAATTTGCGGCGGAAATGAAGTTGATTTTGTGTTCAGCGCATCAATATTAGCAATGCCCACCGAGCGCATTTTGTTCTGCCGATTTTTGGCCCCCGCTGCGGGGGTGTTTCGTCGGACGCCCTAAAGCGAAGGTTGTTGTCTTCAACTCCCTCTCACGCCGCTTCTTGGGAATGGATATGAATGAAACTTGGCAGCCAATCAGAAAAGAGGTCAATCTTGTAGTATGCAGTTTGACAACATTGTAGCCATCCTAGAAGCAGTCGAAAACGTTTGCGAAAGTGGTTAATGTGATGCGCTTTGAAGGTTTTTCGGAGCTGTGATTTGTCAAACTGACTGATACGTTGTACACCATTTTTCTTTATTCCCTTAAAATTTCATGCTTCTGTGTTAGCGGTTTTGGCGCAATCTTGCCATCAGTCGCCTCGGGCGCTACAAACGAGGCCCCGCTTATGTGAAATGGAAAGGGGGGGAAGGATACTTGAAAACTAAACGGAGGCCTCGATAACTTGTGTTTTTGTTGCATTTTAGTCACAATACAATAGATGTAGTCATTTTTATTTGCTTGATTGCATGACAGAAGAATAGAAACAGAAAAGCAAACATCTTGAGAAGTGGTATGACATTGTGTTTGCGTTATAATAAATGAAAGCCTATTCCCCCCTCTGGGGAAAAGCACACACTTGGACTCGTCCTCTGTGCTCTGTTTGGAAAAGTGAGGCATTAAGATTAAGATTGTTATTAAAGAGTACGGTACTTATTGAAGTTATTCAGTCCAGTCTGGGCCTGGGAAGATAGTCCCGTTTATATACATTGTTATCGTTCACGCATGCGTGAGTGCGCGCGCCTGCATGTGTGTGTGTGCCTGAGAGAGAGAGAGAGAGAGAGAGAGAGAGAGAGAGAGAGAGAGAGAGAGAGAGAGATGTTACATATTAAATTTATAGTATGAGTTGTAGCCTACTAGATCTAGATTCTAGTATCTATAGATTCTATCTACTGATGTGGAACTTCTCTTTGTTCAAGTGTGGATTTTTTTTACCTGCACACTTCTAAACCAAGAATCCAGACTAGATCCTGCTTAAATTATCTTGATGCAATAATGGTATTTCAAAGTCAATGAAATAAACAGTCAACAGCCTGCAATACACGATCACAATTCACAAAAGTTGGCAAGAGTGACTCCCCGTTGTTTTGTATATTTCCACGATATAACCAAAGTCAGGCTCTGCTTGAGTTATAACCTTCAGCAGAACACGGCAAAACATATTTACTTATATTATCAAGAAAATATTACTATTTATGCTCTTGTCTTTCAAGAAAATTTTTCATTCAAGTTTATTGGAACCCATTAATAAAATTTTGAACACAGAATAGCTTGATGTAAATGAATATCTTAAAAGTTTTTATTTGCATTTAATTGTCGGAAAATAAGCATTACATTTTCTATGTATTCGATACTCTTCTAATTCATGGGAAATAACTCTCAGCGTATTTGGAAGCGTCCGTCCACTCAAAACATAAACAAAGGTAGAATCTTGTTACAGTCCATTCATTTGTTTCTCGTAGTTTTCTTTGCTCCGTGTGGTCGCCTATTTTAGCTGCAATACGAAGGGGAGGGTCTGATGAAGATTAGGGGGCTGATACTGATAGAACCAATTGGACACCTGTATTTGACCGTGCACGTGCACTGTTGGTTTGCTTTCACAACTTTCTGATTTCTGTGAAATTGTGCAGTGGGCAGACTTTTAGAAATCTAGATTCTAGATCTAGATCTAGATATATATCTAGATCTAGATCTATATAGAATCTAGAATCTATCTACTGTCAAGCGAGTATCTGTTGTTTTTCAAACTGACAATTGTAAAAAACGTCTGCACTGTCAAAAATGTCTTGAGCGGCCACCCATTGGGCATTGACTTTAGGCCACCTCTATTTCTATTCTCACCCGGGGTGAGAATAGTGCAGGCGAGTCTTTTGGCTATTCTCACCCGGTGCGCGTTCACCGTTATAACCTAGATCTAGGCCAACAAATTTTGCGTTCACCGTAAACCACAGAATTCTACACTGTGATAACAGAAAAATTGTAGAATTGTGTGCTGTGAACAAACGTTCCATTACAACTGTACTTGTAGCCTACTAAAAGCGTACAATTTTGTCTGTGGGCAGTGGAGAGAGAGAGTGAGAGAGAGAGAAAGAGAGAGAACAAAACAAAATGGCGACCCGCGTAGTTCGGCTCGATTCGAAAAGTTAAATAGCCGTAGCATCTTTGTAGACAACCAAATTAATTTACTTTTGTGTTTTAACATCATTTTTAAACTTTGTTTTGGTCAATTTGATCGTCCACACCGATAGACAGTATTGAGAAAGAGACAGAGAGAGAGAGAAGAGGGGAGGAGTAGATCTTGCGAGAACTTCCGGGCGGGTGAGAATAGTCACTTTCTTGACTTTATTGACGTTATTGGTGAGTAGCAAAGCGGCTGTCTTAGTTGGTCATATTACACATTTTAAAAGGCTATGTTAAACTGAGACGTGTAGTGTAATAGTAATGATCTACGGCTCTACACGTTGCAGGTGCCAAAGGTGGTCCCTTGGAACAGAGTAGGTAAGGCAGGGTAACAGACGAAAAAGCGCCAGGGTTTGTTGGCGGAGAAAAGTGCATGAAGCCACATCGACGGGGGTTATAATTGCCATGCAAGCAACTTTGTTGAATCCAACTTTGCTCATATGTGTTTGTTGAATCCAAATTATTTTTTATTGATTTATGATTTTTTTAAAATGGGGGGATCATCTCCTTGTTCCTTTGCCGCTTTTTAATCTGAGTTTTCAATGAATTTGAGTTTTTAAAATTATAACCAAGTTTCGTTGTAATTGACTCTAAAAGCAAAAATGAAGCAAAAGAACTTGGGAACTTTGGTGGATTATAAATGTTTGAAATGAAAGAAGCCTGAGAAAATTACACCAGAACACCCATTAATCACCCACTCATAAAATTTTCACACCAAATTTACAAATGTTTAATTGAAATATATTCCTGTTTGATGAGAAAACTAGATCTAGGTTTCATTTTGATTTTTGATTTTATTCTGTTGTTTTGTATTCACAGGTCTTTGTATCTGAGCAACTATGGGACGAACTTCCAAAGGAAAAGGTGGTGACACAGCGAAATCAGACTCAAAAAATGAAGCTTCGAAATCAGAATCCAAATCTGAGACAAAGGGAGAGAGCAAGAGTGAGGTCAAGTCCTCAGAAACGAAGCCTGAAAAGCCCACGACAGTTTCCAGCGGTCTGAGCCCAAACTTGTCTAATTCGTCGACTGATGAGTCACGTGGCGCTGTTGGGGGTGTTTCTGTCTCGTCAAAGGAGAAAGTTCAGGGCATGCTAGAGCTGCTCTTCTCCAACATCAAAGAAATACAGGTTTTTAAAAAGTTTTTCTTTTCTTTTTTTTTCCTCTTAAAATTAGTAACAGTTTTATTACACAGCATTTGCAACTCAAACCGGTCATTATAATTGCTGAAGATTAGAGGTGCTAGTACTAGAGAGTAGCCTTACATACAAACAAATGAAGGAAAAGAGTTAATAAAAAGCATTTAGGAAAGAAGGAGCAAACCACATCAGATTTGCTTATAATTATAAATGTACAACACTGTCATGACATGGTGGAATCAGGCACTTGTCAATTTTTGGGCTTGTATAGAATTATTGACCTGGTGTCGTCTTAACGCCTGTTCATTTGTCGTGCTTTTGATTTGTTTAAATATCCAGATCTATCTTAAATAAACGTTGAAATATTGGTGATTGAAGGAGATACAAAAACTGAGAAATCTCAAAGTTACTGGCTCATCTATTTGTTCACAGAAAAGTCATAACAGAATACTGGGAAGATGAAGAAAGTGAGGTTGTTCATCTTTTTGAAAAAAGATGTCTGTCTTTTCTCATTTATAGTATATTTGCATTTTTTATGCCAGTTTTTCCTGAACTATTATTATGCCAATTATTTTTTTTACCTCATTTTTCTTGGGTGAAATGATCATAAAATATGACTTGGCATTTGTACTTTTGATAAGATAAGAAGGCACAATAATAATTCATTTATTGATATTGATATGTTCAACCAACATTTCATGGAGAGATTTGTTGTGTTAGTAGTTATTGTTTCTCCTCAGGTTGAACGAGACAGAGCGGAGCACAACTTGTCCAACATTCGCAAAACACATGAAAAAATGCAGGAAGAAGGGAAAGGTAAAAGCAAATGGACAAAAATATTTTCCTTTTAGGCTTCGTTTTGTTGATAATGGTATCTTTTTTTTTTAAAACTTCGTACTATTTTTTTTTACTCTTTCCAAATAACTAACAGTGTCAAGTTGCATTTACTTGTGAGGTTTGTTGACATCGAAATTGTAACTTAGGAAATAGTTTGCAAATATAACATGTTCTTTGAAATAGAATTTACTCATTCTGTACAAGTAACAAAACTGGTAACCTGCAATAATTCCTCCAATTTTATTTTTGATAATCAAGACAAGCTGGTAAATATTACGACAAAAAATCAATGTTTCGATTCTATTTTTTTATTCTGCAGGTCTGTATTGGAGCTATTATGATGATCTTTGTAGAATTTTTTAAACTCTTTTTTTTAGAACCTGAGATGTTTTTTTAAAATTCTCTTTATTCAACTAGTTTATTGTTGTGTTGACTCTCAATGCTTTTATTTCAGTGACGCCATATTATCGACAGAAGTTGAAAACTTTGTACAGCGCCGCAATGACAGATGCGGAAGCTGAAGCTGAGTGAGTACCGTCAATTCTCTACTAGCTAACCTACCCAACGCCACTATTCATAAACTACAGCATTTTCAGAGTCATGCCATCAATCATCAATGCCTTTCACCCCTGGCAGGGTATAGGCCACATACAAGCCCCTTCCATTTATCTCTGTCCTGGGCCATCCTTTCACCCCTGGCAGGATATAGGCCCCATACAAGCTCCTTCCATTTATCTCTGCCCTGGGCCATCCTTCCAAGCTTGTTCCCAGTGAGCTTCATCTCTCTCATGTCCCTTTCCACACATCTCCTCCATGTTTCCCGTGGCCTACCCTTGCCTCGTGCTCCCCAAGTGTTTCAATAACAAAGTTCCCTCAGATCTTAGTCATCTGGATTTATGTTCCATCCAGATCGCTGAGATCAGGTGATTAGTATCTTTGAAGGGTTCCTATATACATATAACTGTTTCACAGCAACATTTGCCTCTATCAGCAACCTCTGCATAAGAGCAACCAAGTTTTCCTTCTCAAGGGGGTTGCTGTTAGGTGGGCGCCATTGCTAAGACCAAAGTGTATTATCTGTTCCCGACTTTTCCCACGGCCTTGTGTCCACTGGTAAGCGGGACTGACACTGCAGAAGCTGATGAGGGACGGAGAAACCTGGGCCAGGATTATATCTAGTGGATGGATTACCGTCCTCTTGAAGAAAAAAAAAAGGTGGGGGGCGCCACTGTTTAGAAGTGGTTTTCAAACTTGGTTGTGTGCAATGGTTGATGTCTGCAATAGCATCTGTTTCGTATGAACTCTTCATCTCCGATGGTGGTTTTCCCACTATGTCAGAGCCCCTTTAAAAAAAATTTGTAACCTGAGAGTGACATACACGTTGCTAGCTTACTCATTAAATCAAACAAATGAACTTGTAGTACAACAGGGATAGGTCGAACACAGAAGACTCGAAATCACACATCCGTCAAACTGTGCCTGCGGTCCCATTTTTTTTCTTCGTTATTTTTATAAGATATCCCTCGAACTACAGATCCTTCGAACTACCGAGGCCAGTCTCGACGAATTCGAGCTGTCGCGTGTTATACTGTATTTTGATAATTCTTCGTCTAATGAAAGAGTTCCTGGTAAAAGAGATTTATTTTTTGGCTATTAATATAATGTCGTGATTGTGATGGAAAATGCCTGAGCTGCTTACAGCGGATGACCGGCACAACAGTTCTGATTGCTAGCTGCTGGGAGCGGACTGCTAGAGATAAAAAGTTATCTATCTTTATTCCAGTGGCTGCCATAGACCTGACTAACTTTCTGCTACATGTGTAAAACTTTCCTGGTTTTTTTCTCCCCAGAGTCATCCGGTCAGCCCTGGAAAAGATCAAAGAAATCAAGAAAGTGCAAGAAAAGTCTGCGAAACAAAAGCATGGTATGTCTTTTTATTTCTTTTTCTTCTTCTTCTATCCCGTGGTTGGGGCAACCATTGGGGCACCACTGCATTTGAAAACCTGCTCTTGCCATCTATTTTTGTCCTCTGCTTTCCTCAGATTGTCACCCATCGGCTTTCCTGTCCACTCTGTAATGTTGTCCTCCCATCTCCTTCTCTGCCTTCCTCTCTTTCTCTTTCCTTGTACGGTTCCATGCAGGATTACTTTGGCAAGTCCTGTGGATCTTGTGACATACCCATACCATTTTAGTTTTCGTTTCTTCTTTTTATTTATTTACAATATATACAATATATGAGGGTGCGGTGGCGGAGCGGTTAGTGCGCTCGTCTCTGAAGCGGAAAGACCGTGTTCAAGCTTCGGTTCGGACACAGACTTTTTTCGCCCTCTCCTGCCCACTCAGCAGTAATGGGTACCTGACTTCGAGTTAGGGAAGTAAAGGCGGCGTGGAAAGGAACTGACCACCCTACCACAATATGACGAAGGCCCAGGAAGTTGTCTCACAAACAAGGCAATCCCCAATGTCCGGATCGGATGCGGGAACAACTTTACAATATATAATTTGTTTTCTATCTTGAATAGGATGTTCTCTGTTTTCCTGTGTTTGTTTTCATGTCTGAAATGTGCTGGAAGTGTTCGTGTAGATGAAGGAGAAATCTCTTTCCACGTTTTTAGTGACAGCGACAGCATGTGTTATGACCTATTGTTTTCCTTCGTTAGTCACGTTTGACGATAAACGAAAGCGAAAGTTGTAATTTAGAATGTGAAATATTTTGCTTTTTCCTCCAGTGGCTTTTTTTTTTTTAGTGCACTTACTGTTGGCGATAAGATTGCTCCTTGGTGTTTGATTTGTTCCCCTTGAAATGTCTCTATTTTTAGATACTGGTCGACCAAAGCAGATAATGCGGCGAGGTGTTCTCATGTCGCAGCTACAGCAAAACGCAACAACACTTCCTCTGTGGGTCAGCAAGCCCGGAGAAAGGTATTGTGTCTGATGTCACCAAAAATAAAATGATTCGTTTCTGGGTTTAATGCAGCGGCGAACACTATTAGCTTATATGTAAGATGTTGGACCTTCATATTTAACATCCGTCTCCGATACGAACGGGGAGACCTTTTATTTAGTATATAGATCTTTCTGTTGGGATGTTGAATCCCTCTCAGCCCAGGTCAGCCCTGACAGGCAGGGTCGGAGGCCCGCCTCCTAAATGATCTAAGTTGTGTCAATGGAGATGTAAAAACACCTTCAATCTAGCATGCATGTAGAGAAAATATTCCTAGAAATAGCAAACAGATTTACAGATCCCTCTTTTTTTTGTTATTATACATGTACACTCTTTGTATAGAACAAAATATGTACCTGATGAAATTTGCACGTTACGAAATGATTTTTGCAGATTTTGCTGTTTACGTGCGCTAGATCGTACATTTGAAACAAAAAATCGTACGATTTTCTGACTCCTTAAGTTATGTGAAATCCTCCCCTCAGTCCGCCCCCACTGTGCGGCGCGGTGCCCGCAGACAGCAACTACATCTCGCAGCCCGAGGACAAGGTCGCCGCCCGGGTCAAAGGTCAGGACGGGGAGGAGAACTGGATCCTCGCCGAGGTCGTCAACTTCAACGGCCACACGGGAAAGTACGAGGTGGACGACGTCGACGCAGAGGAAGGAAAAGAGTGAGTTTTTGTTTTGATTGTTGGTTGTTGTTTTTTTTTGTTTTTGTTTTTGTTGTTTAGAGGTGTTGATACTACAACAGTGGGTGGTTTGTGGGTGCTCGGGTGTGGTTCGCTTCTTCTTTCCTATGAAACATCTATAGTCCTTATCTCCCCTACTTCTGTTTTATGTTTGTTACTCTCTTGTAACACCTCTAATCTACTGGCGCTCATATGACCTTTTATGCAGTTTTGCGAGCGCCGAAGAACTTCTACTAAAACTACAAAAATACTACATACAACAGGGAGCTCTCTCTCCCCTCAACGCCCTAGAGGTACAAGAGGACGGAGAAAGTCAAGTAAAGACATTACTTTTGTGTTTGTTCTTACTGAAGGAGGGTATGAACGGAGCTCCTATACTCAGTGTTGTGTAGTTTTGGTCCGGTAAGTTGTCATGAGGAGATGAACGAGAGACAGGATGCGCACGACGCTGAGTATCTAGGCAGTTGTCATTGCTCACATTGTTTTTGAATTGTCAAAAATAATCCCCCCCCCCGGGGAAGTGCCAGTGACTGAAGTTGTCTTCAGGCCATTCCCAAAGGGGGGATATTAACATGTCCTTTATGCATAGTAGAATTATAAATGGGCTGATTTATCAATGTCATGCTCATACTGTGCCGGAACAACATAGGGGGAACTGCTGCTTTTTCTTTCCTCATCCTTACTCTCGTAATTTTTTTCTCTACTTCTTTTGTATGTTTGTCACTCTCTTGTGAACTGCTATTGAGCTTATTGTCACCATTTGTGTGATGTGTGAGAGTTCTGTATACATAGCCGGTCGTTTTTGCATCAACGACGTGGGTGGTTGGTGGGTGCTCTGGTGTGGCTTGCTTCTTCTGTCCTACGAAACAATTATCGTCCTTATCTCCCCTACTTCTTTTTTATGTTTGTTACTCTCTTGTAACACTTCTAATCTTCTGGCTCTCATGTGACCTTATTCAGTTGCGAGCGCTGTAAAACCTCTACTAAAACTAACAGCATCAACGACATTGTTAGGGAAAACTTAAATGCCCATTGCTGTCGCAGAGGACGTTGCAGATATGTCTCGGTTTATTTTAAATAAAGGGTGACTTCCCTTCCCCAGACGACATTCTATCAGCAAACGGAGAGTTGTGCCCCTTCCTATCTGGAAAGCGAATCCAGAGACAGACCCGGGGGCCTTGTTTTCAAAGAAAACGGTAAGCTTTCCCTCATTTTTTCAGAATTTGCTTTTTTTTTCTTGTGGACTAATCAGTTGTTTTGTTTTTTCAATTTTGTGCTTCTTTCCTACAAGTGCAAGAGGTAGCAGTTCGTGACCTCATTGCTTTCTTGTTGTATCTGCTTTTTTTTAAACAGTGAAAATGTGACATCTTCTTAAGCTCACTCTTTCTAATGAACTGTTTTCACTGTTATTCAAAATGGAGATATGACAAGAGAGCACTGAGGTCGCGAGTTGGTGACCAGCACCACTGATGCCGTAACACATTTAATCGGCAAGCTGTTCAACTGTTCTAAGTGGGTGGTTGGTGGGTGCTCTGGTGTGGTTTGCTCCTTCCTACCTATCCAATATCTATCGTCCTTGTCTTCTCTCCTTCTTTTTTGTGTATGTTACTCTCTTGTAACACGTCTAATCTTCGGCACTTATATGCCCTTATTGTGTTGCAAGTGCCGTAAAACTCTGACTAAAACTAAACCTGTCCTAAGCCCAGAGAAGTAGGCCTTAGAGTCAGCTGAGGGGGTCTGTGGTGTAGCGGTTAGGCACCTTGCTGTCACATGTAGGAGACCCAAGTTCGATTTCCGATTGGGGAGAAGTTATTACAGAGTACCGGTATCTCTGTCTTTCTTCTGAGATGTTACATTCCTCTCAGCCCAGGCTGGCTCTCTGACAGGCAGGATGGGAAGCTCGCCTCTTTTATGATCTAAATTGTGTCGAAAGGGGCTTAAAAATCTATATTATATCTTTAAAAAAAACAAACCTCCCCCCCAAAAAAACCACTTGAAGGGTGGAAAAATCTGAGTTTGAGTTATTGTTTTGTTTTGCAGCATCATTGTTTTGTTTACTGCTACTCCTTGACTCCTCCTTACTGCTGTCTTTCTACTGCTACTCCTTGACTCCTCCTTACTGCTGTCTTTCTACTGCTACTCCTTGACTCCTCCTTACTGCTGTCTTTCCTCCACACCCCTGATCTTCTGGTAGGAAAGATCTACACCTAGCCTACTCGGACAAGGGCGAAAAATCTCGGAGGGCCCGTGTGCAAGTTGCACACGTTAAAGATCCCTTGGTGGTCTAAAATCGATAAGAGTAGGCTTCGGCCACCAC